AAAACTGTGCTTTTTTACTGCTGCTGTTGACCCGAGACACTAAGGAATGTTTGACTGGATGTCAATCCCAAAGCTGTATAATTAATTAGTATATTATAAACATTGTTAAGAGGATTGTGATTTGATTGATGTTGCAGCTGAGTCTCAGTAATTGTTAGAGCACCTGTAGTATCTGCGGTTAACTTTTAGGGACAAATGTTTGTGACTCGATGCACGACCTTTTATGTGTGATATGATATCGAACCAAAACAATTTAATTTACCAAAGAAGTCCTCATAAACCGGCTTTGATTAAGCCAGAGCCTCCAAGACCCTTACAATTTATATAATTCAGGCAAATTGGGAAACAAACCAGTCGTCTGTTTATCCATGTCAGTGTGTCTACCTGCCCTTACATCTGCTGACCCTGACGGAACACTTTGGTTGTTGTTTGTGTTTATAAGACTGTTTAATTTCTATATCTAATTCTCATAAATGAATACTCTAACTAGACACTAACCAATTCTCTAAAGGTTAATTTTAAAATGTTTTTTAATACAATAGTTTTAAAGAAAACACATGACGCTGTAGATGTTCACTTAGCACTATCACATGCACTAGTCTCAATTAGTCTGTCAGGAGCCTAGCAGGACATCAGATTCAGTAATGGGACATCAGTGTGTAAGAAAACATATAACACAAGTCCAGAAATATAAATTTCTTTCCACTGCAGCAGAATCACTCTGCTGTAACATTAACATGAAACATGATCCAATTTGAACAAGATTCAACTGCCTTGAAACCGAGTAGCTCAGACTGGCTACATAGTTTTATGATCTACCAGATGATGAGCATTATGTCTTTTTGGTGTCATTATAATGCTGAATAGATAATAGTAGTCAAGCACTCCAATTGCTCAATCGCCGCTTAGTTTTACAACCCATTGTTTGATCCAGCACAAACTTTAATTTGAAGCAGCAATCATGGGATATATATTTTCCTTTCATCTGTAGTACAGGAAGAAAAGCAGCAGTGTACCTCTCAGCTTTATGAACAATGATCCATTGGGTTGTTCCTCTTAAAATCATGCAGTTGCTTTATAGAGTGAAAGTAGAGGACAGCAACAGGCTAAGATGACCATATATGCTCATTTCTGTTCGCCCTCACCTGTCAGACAACTCACCTGTATTTTCATTTTCACCTAAAGTCCTCCTGCAGTTGTATTAGTCCAATCCTGCTGCTTTGATGTTTGGAAACTCAAAGCCGGTGTCTTTTCTAAAATATCCTGATCAAAACTAGTTCAGTTTAGTCTCTGAAAATGCCCCCTGATAGCAAACTTTGAGGCTTTCTGTCCGTATTCATGCAAATGAACCTCTGTGTTTGTGTTTAAATAGAGGCACATCTGATTGTTCATCTGTGTAAGCTCTATCTTTTAAAATCCCTTTTTAAGGATGCAAAGCCTTTCCTCTTCATGCTAAGAAGAGGTCTAATGCAGACAATCATTATGTGCATCAACAACCCAGGTTTACAGCAATGATCAACAAACTATTGTGTTCTTTTTAAAAGTATTTCTCACCATAGGATCTGTCTATCTACCTTATTAGCGTCTCTGCTTATGAGAAATTTTCCTCCTTGTGGAGTATGTTTAAATTCATGATTTTCTGATGAATATTCCTCCATTAAATAGCTGTCTCTCACAGAGTAAATACTGTTTAAAGTCAGAGGTTTTAACTCAAGCTAAGTTCTGCCTAATAAAATACAGTAAAATAAATCAGGAATAGCTCCACACTTATTAGCCCACAAATATATTCTTCTTTAAGCTGTATTGTAGATGTTGCTATGCCTGTTTTATTTGTGACTAAGCAAAATAAAACTTCGTTTTTAAACCTTCCAGGCTTTTATTTGTGAAAACATGTTCACATATAGACTTTTATGCTTCAGATGTAAGATTTTAATCATAGCTTTACATTCATCTTCCACAGACTTGAAGGACGAACTGAAGAAGCCCTCTAATATACAGTATTTATCTGCTATAATTCCTCTCCTACAATTTAAGGAGAAATATTATTCAAATCAATAGTAGTCAAGCTCTTTCTTTACTTTGAAATCTACTGAAAACTCTGGTGCTAAAGTTGACTGTTTAAGAGAGATACACATGCATTTCACAAGATTTAAAACTGTTGCTGGTCTATAGCCTCTGAAAAACGTTTCACTAATAAAAAGGTTTGCAAGAACTTGAATAAAAAGGTTAATTAGCTGCATGACTTTAGCTTTCAGACAGCTGCTTTGTTTGTGGGTGAACGCATACCGATGCAGTGAATTCTCCGGTTAATAAGTTTAATAAGAAACCACATGAATATGTTGAATTTTTTTTCTTTCAGGTAACTTTTCTGCTGGTTAAATCCCGTATGTGTGCAATGGCAGCTTGTTATTTACCGCAAGCTGCACGATCAGATGGGGCATGCTTTCATTCTCTGTACATCGGTGTTTCTGTTGCTCTGCTTATGGTCCTTGAGCCTTTTCTAATCAACTTTGCTTTTTTATTATTCAATTCTAAAAAAGCATAACTGAGGGAAAAACTCAACTCTTGGTTTGTCACTAACATTTTTCAGTATTGATGAAAACTCTTTTTTTTTTTTTATTATTATTTATCAACAAACCTTTTCTAAAATGTCATGTCATGAACTCTGTTGTAGTGAAAGAGGATACGAGACCGTAACTGGAACCATGAACGCATCCTCTAAGGAATCTGTTTTTTTCCCCCTGTAAAGTTCAGGTATTATGTAATGGAATTTTGTTGAGATGACATAAATGTTATCATTATTGGTCTGAGTATTTGAAAACAGCTGAAAACAGCCATCAGTCAACAGCTGCTCTTGTGTCAGTTCTTTGTAAACTAGCGTGCACCTTTCAGACTGTTGCTGATGTCGCTCCCAGGAGCCTGAGCTAAGTTTAGCTTTTATGGAGTCATTGTTCCCATGTGTGAACTGTGTGAGGATATCCACGTTTTTAACAGATGGCGGGTGGGGTTGTTTTTGGCTGGGAGGACCGTTCATCCAGATGGATGATGTCGGTTAGATATGGAGGATCTGTGGCACCTTTCGTCTCCGAGGTGAATGTGAGAACGGAGCTGCTCCCATTCCTCTGGTGGGGCTTGCTCTGTTTGGAGAACCAGCTTTCATTTAGGACCGCTCCATCTGTTCTCTGTAAGCATCCAACATTATAACTGTCTCCTCTTTGTAGTAATATACCTCTCGAGCTGTTGACTTTTCATCCGAGCAATTTAGTGGTTTGAAGAGGACCAAAAATGCAAACAGGAATGTGTGTCGAACAGAGCTGGTTGACTGTCTGCTTGTGTTTGTGTGCTGATGCATGAAATGACTGAGTCCTCGTCTCTGTCTATAAAGTCTGGGGAACACGAGGCAGGAATTTAATGAGTTTTAATAAGCACAAACCTTATCTGATTTAAACTCAATTAGCAGTGAACATTAGCTGCATATCTTTAGTTTGTGAAGGATGGGGGTTCCTTTTTATAGCTAAACTTTCCTCTTTCTGTCCACTCCCTTCACAAAAGTTGTTGGTTTTAGCAATATATATCACTATGCAAGCTATTCATACAGTTCTTACTTTTTCACTTTGGTCTCTCAACAAACCCAATTATTAATGTGTCATTCATATTTAATGTGTTACAACAGCACATACAGTGCTTGCATACCTTGGTAGAGGGGAAGGAAAATGTTTGATGCATGTTTTTTTTATTTTAATTAATGCTTAATGACGAAGTTTTGTATTCGATTGTTGAATTCAAACCTTTTAAAAACAATCAAGCTTTTTGGGATTTGTCTCTATCCTCTTTTCACATCTAAAAAGTCATGTTTTATTATTTTTCTTTCATTGCTTTCTGCTTTAACTCTGCTTTTATGTAAAATGAAGGTACATTTTTAAATTGTAGTTCTGGCTGGATTCTTAATTGCCTTTCTAAAGTGACTAACAGTTGTTTTTCTTTTCCATTCCTGTCGAGTTTTTATCTCCATCTGCTTCCGTATCAACTCAGCCCAGTAACTCAATCAATTTATTTGTTTTTTACTAAGAAGAAAAAAAGATTTTTAAATTTTGCAGAGAATCTTTTAGTTTTAAGAGTTAATTCTCCAAGTGTCTAACTTAACACTATTATCGTACTGTAATTGATTAAAAAAATTAAAAAGTCATCAAGTACAAACATCTTGCTGCATGGGTGGATAGTTTTTTCTGCTTCCAGTAACGTTTCCATCAGGTTTAAAATTTCATGTTGTTAGAGACAGCACGATGCTGCCACTACCTTATTTCTTTATGAGGATGTTGGGTTCATAGGAAATTGTATTCATTTTTGTTTAGGCTAAGAATGCCAGTTATCAGGCTTAACTATAGAGCTCATTCTTGACATTTTTGCTGTTTCCACTTCCTTTCTTGGGGCAAACTGGGATTTTAATGGATTTTTATTTCTGTGCTACCATAAAGGCTAGATTTGTAGAATTTTAAACCTATATATATATTTTTTTTCCATCTGAGACCTGTATCTCTACAGCATCTCCAAATGTTTTATTGACTGCTTTTCTATAGAGAACTTTTGTCATTTTAGGTTTATAACCATATCTAGCCTGTTTTATAGTTTAATTTCCATTTTCAGATGGTGGATTGAAGGTTTTTTTTTTGTTTTCAAAAGCTGGGGGATAACTTTAATTTATCTTTCCAAAACCTTCTCACTGACCGTTCGGCTATGGTCATTGGTCTTTGAGATGCCTTGTCTTAATGTTCACCAGCTGATGACTTCTCAGAGAATTTGATACTATTGCACCAATATACAGTAGATCTAGTTAATAGTAGCGGGACTGAAAAGAATTTGGTTGCACAGGTTTTGTTTAGGCGACCAAAGTAAGGGAACTCTATACCTCTTCGTACTACACTTTGTGTTTTCATTTGTTAAATAAAACTGCACAGTCATGTTCTGCTTCGTTTTGTCTAACACATTAAATTGTAATAAAATACTATTTAGTTTATTGTAGAAACATAAAACATTTGGACATTTTTAGATGATGATATTTCTACTTCCTCATGGTGCTGAATCAAATAATCTTTACACTGTTTTCTCATCCTTGTTTTTCTAAATTCTGACAAATCTGTTTGTCTTCTTCTCTTTGTAATTCAGCGCTGACAGCTGCTGCAGGCCGGGGGAAGATGGAGGTGAGCAGCTTCCTGCTGGAGCTGGGGGCGGTGGTGCAGCAGGTGAATCGACGGGGGGTGTCTCCCTTGTTCTGTGCCGTCAGGCAGGGACACTGGCAGGTAAGATCTGCTGAGCAGCTTGTTTATTCCTGACAAACTCTCCGTTTCCATCTGCAGTAACCGGTCTCAGTTACTGCCTCCACTCTGATGCATCACAGCAGCTGTGTTCTGGTCTAATAGATTTTGGAAGCACTACTGTCCATATGCTAAATTAAAACCCTGTCTGATAGCTGCTATAACTCTAACTTTGTTGTTGTTTTTTAGATTGCAGAGCTGCTGCTGCAACATGGTGCTGACATTAACATCAGTGACAAGCAGGGCAGAACGCTGCTCATGGTGGCTGCCTGCGAGGGTCACCTGAGTACGGTAGAGTTTCTGCTGTCTAAAGGTGAATTCAATAACTTTACACCCTCAAGACGCTCATCTGTTATCCGAGATGAGTAAATAACCTGTTTGGGAATGTTTTACCTTAAAGGTGCTTCTTTAACTTCGATGGACAAAGAGGGACTGATGCCTCTGAGTTGGGCATGTTTGAAAGGACATAAGAATGTGGTGCAGTTTTTGGTGGAGAAAGGTGCCATCATCGACCACACGGACAAAAACGGTCGAACGCCACTGGACCTCGCTGCCTTCTATGGAGATGCTGAGATCGTAAGTGAAACAGCCAGTTCCACAGACACAATAAACTTTCAGCCCCTGTTATCAGGGTCCCCATATAATCTTAGGAAGTCTAAGGGGAAAAAAAAAAGAATCAAGATTTTTTTTCTAGGTCTGGAAAGGTGGGGGAAAGGTGTGGAAATTTCTGTTTTTCCAGACTTTGTTCCTGGCAGCAAAGTTAACATGGCAAAAAAAAACCTTGATTTCTGAACATGGTGAACTTCCATCGGTGTATATAAATATAAATTGTGATCAATAAAAATTTTTCAATTTTTCATTTTTGATCAATAACAATTATTAGCATCTTTATCACAAGCAGTATATGGATCAAATAAACAACCTTATAAATTCAAAACCCTTTTTGCTCCTAAAATTGAATGAACATATGAGCACAGCAACACAAAAACACAGTTTTTAATCCATTATTTAGATTATTCCATCATCCAAATGATGAACCTCTGATATTTTAAGTAATTTTTCTCACAAAATACTTCTGCAGAAGTGTGAACTAAACAGTGCGTGATCATTATTTATAGCAGAATTCCTTGCATTGAATATGGTTAAATTACACATAGCAATAATGACTAGATTATTGCCATTTGTTCCATTTCCTATATTGATAACAAAACTTTCACAGTGGATCTATGCGCATATATATATATATATATATATACTGTATATATATATATATATATATATATATATTATATTGTATTACAACTAAAGCCACATCTAAGGAGTTATTTCGTTTTCCAGATGTGGGCTGGATGCCGAATTTGTGACGCATGTGAAGATGCTGACATGAGAGTTGAGAACGTCTTTCAATATTAGTTTATTAGGTTTTTAAGGTTGAATATACCCCCAGTTGGTCAATGCTTGTGTTGCTGTTTGTGCATCGGATTTATGGGTGTAAAGCAAATATAATATAATTGAACTTAATCGATCTCAGATTAGAGAAATTTACCCCTGCATTTAACCCATCCCCTTGGGGAGCAGTAGGCTGCCATTTTACAACCCCCGGGGAGCAGTGTGGGGATAAGGGTCTTTGCCCAGAGACCCAGAGTGGCAGTCGAACTCAGAACCTCAGAATACCAAGCTCTATACCCTAACCACTAGGCCACCACTCCCCCCAAAAAAATTACTTTACTGTCCATATAAAAAAAGTGGAATTACATTATTTATTCAAAATGAACGCATACCAATCATGGCCATAATACGCATATACACAAACATTATTTATATATATATATATATATATATATATATATAAATAAAGAAATAATTTGGTGTGTTTCCTTCCTCCTGTAGGTCCAGTACTTGGTGGAAAGAGGAGCAGTGATTGAGCATGTGGACCACAGTGGGATGAGACCTCTGGACCGGGCCATTGGGTGCAGGAACACTTCAGTGGTGGTGACTCTGTTAAAGAAAGGGGCCAAGCTCGGTAGGAGCTCTTCTATATATTATTTTTAACTCGCATGAACTGTACATGTAGTTTTTTTTGGCTTGCTGAGTTGTCTGATAAACACAGAAAAATCATCTTGTCTCCAGTCTGTTTGTGTTGCTCAGTATCTCATGATTCTAAGAATAATCCCAGATAAATTTTCTGGAATGTGTTGGGGGGGACTCCTCTTATCCCTGCCTGTCTCTCTAAATCATCGGTTTGTGTGTGTTGGGTCCCTTTCTTGGTTCTGTGGCGCTTCACTAACTTTAACAATGACTTGTCACCCGATTCAACCGAAACTATGGATCTGGAGTCCATAGTTTATCTCCGGTGCTCTCTGCCATCTCAGAACAAGACTGATAATTGGGTGAACATCTAGGTTTTCTCTTCCTGCATTTGCAGCTGCAAACACAAAACCCATTTCAGGCTGAGTGACACATAATTGCATATTGTACCGCTGCACTTACTAACACATTTTCCCCTCGCTGCAAATGACGACTGTTGCTTGTCTTACCTCTCCCAACTCTTTCCTAACTGCCTTCAATAAACTAAGGCTACAGAACATCTCCTTACGATCGATCAGGTACAATCTTTAGGTAACTCTACCTTGTACCAATTTCAAGAGAATACTGTGATGCTCGGTTGGCCACAATAAAAGCTTCACAGGATGCTTTGTGTTTCCGCAGGGAATGCTGCCTGGGCCATGGCTACTTCCAAGCCTGATATCCTCATCATTCTCCTGCAGAAGTTGATGGAGGAGGGAAATCTGCTATACAAGGTAAAACTGCCTATTAAGTGTTGTTACAATGATATCTTTGTATCTCTACTGAAAAAGTGAGGCTTCATCGGTAAGCCTGGCTGATAATGTCAAGATTGTCTGTGAAGAAAAAAAAAAATCAATTTAATCATGATTATCTCTCGGTTTAGTTAAATATAGAAACTGAGTACTTAAGGAGTCATGATCGATGTTTGACATTTAACAGAGTGAGGTTTGAATCAAAAGCTGCTCATCAGGTGTAACCTTTTTTTTTCTTTGTATGAGAGCCTGCCTTGTATTAAATCTATGAGTGATTAGAGTGAAGAGGGTTAGAAATTCTTTCTAAGTTCTTCACTCTGTGTGTTATTTTTCACTCTTTTCTTCTGGTTCCATCTTTTTTTTGTATTTTGCTGCACGCCTGACCTCATTGTGTCCTCAAGAAAGGGAAGATGAAAGAGGCGGCCCAGAGGTACCAGTACGCCCTCAGGAAGTTTCCTCGGGAAGGCTTTGGCGATGACCTGAAGGCTTTTAAAGACCTAAGGGTCTCTCTGTATCTCAATCTCTCTCGGTGTCGCAGAAAAACCAACGTAAGTCTCTTTTTGCTCTCCGAGGTCCTTCTTTGAATTAAAAGGCTTTGAGCTTGCCAGATTTCGGCTAATGCAGTTACAGGAAAACTGTTTTGGTTGATGGAATTCTGTTTAACAGAAGTGTAGAAAGAACATATTTTCTAGATTACTTCACTGACCTTTCAGTGATTGTTTTATTTCTAATAATTACTTCTGCAGAAAGAATTTGTTTCTATAGAACAACAGGAAGGACATTTGTATTCCTACAGCTGCTTATGTAATCAGCCTGTGCATTTCTGTACACTTAAACAGGTGTTTGTGCTGGAGACGAGTTGTGTGGTTTTTCTCTTCGTTCCAATCTGTGTCATGTTCCAGCCGAGTACTATAGCTGTAAGACATTTTACAAATAGTACTGAGGACAGTTTAAGGGAGCTGCAGTCCATTGAATTATTGTGCTTCAACATTTAACATCATTTACTTTTTTTTCAAAGCACTTTGCTTAAATCCGAAGCAAAATTGAGCATGTTTCCTTTCAGTTTTCAAGATACATTTTGGATTAAACAGTTTCAGGGTATTTCTAAGGCTTGTACCAATCAGAATATTACAAAAAAATCTACAACTGATAAAGCTGTGACCTAAAACCTGTGGATAGATTTTAGCCTTCCTGCTGCTTGTGGTTACTGTATGTTAATGAGTTATCATGAGAGTAATTGTTGAAATACAAAAAAGAGAAGTTAGACATTTTTGAACTATTTTAAGCATTTTATTATTTTGGTTAGTGCATTAGGCTCAGATTTTCAATATTTTCAGCAGTTTTCACATGGCGAATGTTAAAAGCTCAAAAGGACAAAACAAAGCAACTTTTTGTACTCTGTTTAGCTCCCCCCCTGGATGGCATACTCTCGTTCTCCTTCTCACTATATGAATAAATTGCAGACATGTAACGATATGTCATAAAAATCGTAGCACTTTGAGCTGATGACATGTTTGAGTCTGTATACTTCAATTAACTATTATTCTATTCATAATTAGTTCACAATTATTTCAGCAATGCATTCATCAATGAATTGTTTCTTTTACTATCAGAATAGGTTTGAGTTTCTGACTTCAACCAAAGTTGATCAGGCTGCAAGACAACTAGGGATACCTGAACAGAGTGTGCAGGCCAGACTTAAATGTCAGATGAATAAAGAGATGCAGCAGCTTATTGAAGCTCCTTTCAGCTGTTATAGTTATTGTGAAAGATGTTGAACACCTGGATCCCCGTGGAACACCCCATAAATCAGCCCAAGAATTTGTCTACTGCAGCTTTTAATACCGTTTTGAGAGTATAGCAAAACAGTTTACTGAGTTTCATCAGGTACTCGTACACAAGGCTTTAACAGGAACCCTGACATCTTTAGAGAAAGTCATTGTTTCATAAAGTCCCTTTTGATCTTATAATAAGCAAAGATAAGGGTGTAATTGTATAGTATTAAACATTTTTATGGTATAATCTTCTTGTTTTGGTAGGATTTTGGGATGGCTGAGGAATTTGCAACAAAAGCTCTGGAGCTGAAACCCAAATCCTACGAGGCATACTATGCCCGAGCCAGAGCTAAAAGAAGCAGCAGGTAAAGTATTCAAAATTCGACCAGCTGGAACTGATCGTTCTTGTTCCGTATCCGCTAACATCGCCCCTTCTGTTCGCAGACAGTTCACTGCAGCCCTGGCTGACCTGCATGAAGCAGCCAAGCTGTGTCCCAATAACAGAGAGATCCGTCGCCTCTTGGCTCGAGTTGAAGAGGAGTGTAAACAGATGCAGAGAGTTCAGACTAAAGGAAGCGTAGCTGGAGCTGCTGCTGCTTGCAGCCAGGCGTCAGGAGGCCATGATTCTGATCCAGAGCAGGATGAAAGCCATGTCAACCCCTCAGAGCACAGGCTGGCAAGGACCTTGGAAGCCCAGAGAGACATTCTAGAGGAGGAAGAAGAAGAGGAGGAGGATGACGATGATGAAGAACCAGTGGCCTTGAAGCGTGACAGGACAGGTGAAGCCTGCTGGTCCCAGAAAAGTTTTTCTGTCAACAGAGAAGCCAACACTGTTAACAACTTTGTAACTCCCATCTCACCTCCAGGCTCCAACAGACCTCCTCTCTACCGATACCCTCGAGAGCAGCGGGAGGCACTGGCCCAGCAGGCCTTGGTCCTGCAGCCCACCAAGCAGGCCCAGATAGTAAAGACCAATCAGCACATGAGTTCCATGCAAGCTGCAGGGGGCCGCTCTGCCGGGGCCAAATCTCAGTACGCGCCCTCCAGCCCTTTGCCAAGCCGACACATGTCCAGCAAGCTGAAGCCAGGCCCAGGCATTGACATAAGCCCCCTGCCCACTCCAGCCGATGAGCCAGTATACGAGAACCGCATGTTGTTGGGGGCTGCTTCCTCCGCCATGGGTCAGAGTTGTGACAGTGAGAGCCTCTTTTCTTCCCAGGCCTCTTACTTATCTTGCAGCTCCTCAAAAGCTCTGGGGCCAGAAAGACTGTCTGCCCACTCTGCTTCCTCTCTGGAGGGGCTGGGGTGCTCTGGTCCGGGAAACCAGGGGAACCTGGACCCTGCTGCAGCTGGGCCTCAGGGAAGCATGCGTGTGTCCAGCTCCACCAGCAGCCTGGCATCCAGCAGCAGCTTGTCAGACAGCGGCAAACTTGGACCTGACGTCCGCAGCAAGATCTCAGACAAAAAGCACAGCCAACAGGGCGGCGCCACATCGGAGTACAAACCCAGACCCTTCATGGGCATAACTGACAAAACGGCCCGATTTCAGCAGCAGCAGTGTCATCCTAGCCTTCAGTCTGTCGGTCGCAGCTGGTTTAACCACTCTGCTGATGGTTTATTGTGTCACAACACATCAGCTATAGGTCTGCCGCCAGGTGACAGCGAGCTGTCTTATGGCAAGACAGGGAGCACTTACCAGGAGCAGCACAAGGCTCCGCTGCCAAAGGGTGGCGTGGCGATGAGTGGAATACACAACGGCATGGTTGCCAAGGAATTTGCGGAGAAGTTCTGCCAAGCGGCCAACTGCTACAAGGAGTCCAAGCCAGCGCTGGCCATGCCGCACACTTTCATAGACAGTAAGCCCAAGCAGCTCGGACTGGGTCGAGATAATCCTGCCATTCACGTAGCTTCAATGAAACCAAAGCGATCTTTTATAGAGTCCAATGTGTAAAAAAATGTTTCTCTCTTTACTGTTTAAGATGCACACAATTAAAAATCCATCATTAGAGGAACAGATTTTTTTTTTTTCACAGGATCTTTTAAGAAGTAGTGTTTATCTGGCTGCTTGCTAACAAAAACAGGCAGATCAGAGTTTTATCCCTCTCAGTCTGCAACTTCTGTTACACGACAGCACGCTCGCCGTTATTTAGCCAAGCTGGTATGGTTGCACTGAAGGAGATCTGCAGACCTGTCGTACAATCCTGATCAAAGCAGCAATGACCGTGAACGCTTTACACACAGTTAGGCCAAACAAGTGCTTCGACAACACATGCAGTGAGAGAAATGTTAATACTGAACCATTTTAAATAAAGGTTTGAACTATGTCCATCACGTCTATGGTGCTGATTGACGGGTTTCGAGGAGTTCCTGGCCGATTCACTTTTCCCACACTTTGTACACTTTGTTTCATAAAGTACACTTTAACAATTTTCTAGACATCCTGTTTGTTTAAAGGGTCTTTTAAGTTTAGGTTTAATGTTTTAAATTGGTCATGATAAATTAGACATTACATTTGGTTCATCTTACCGGGTTTGACCCTTTCAGGCCTTCTTAGCCTTGGGTCCTGCAGTAGAAATAAGACTGATAACAGAATAGCCATGGAAAAAAAACGAAAAACATCTCAGTAAAATTGCCATTTCTCTTCGACTGTTTTGTTTTTACACAAACTGTGTGAAACGATTGTTTAGGTTAGCGGTTTGTCATCGAAAACCATCATGATATAAGTTATTTAAGTAGCAAATTAAAGTAACCACGAGGAATGTCTTTATGTAGTTAATGGAAATTAAACCTCCACTTTCCTGCCATATTTTATCTGTGGGATTTCAAATCCCAGACAGATGTCTTAGGTTTTATGTGCAGAGGAAGTAAATATTCTGTATAACTAATTTTAAATTATTTGAAAGAGTTTTATATTTCTTAGCATTTCCGTAGAGCTAAGAGGGGCTTTAGTTTCACTTCACCATGTAACTGCCGTAAAAGAATCAAAAGTTATGGTTAAATAAGTAAAATGTCCCTTTAGCCTTAATTTTTTGGGATATTTTTCAGTCTATTCCCAAAATGTTCTGAACCTGTTCAGTTGAGCCTAAAGAATAAAAATGAACCCTAGTACACTTTGTGATAAAAGTGATTCAGTCAGAGTTCTTCAAGAAATGTCTGAAAGATCAACTAAGGGATGGGCATTCCTGTGACTTACGAAGGATGTTATAGATCCTCATGTGTATATTATATAAATATTTACTGTTTATTCTTTTCCGTGAAGGTCTATGTTAAGTGTATTGACAAGTTCAGACTTGTGTATTTTGACTTTTTTGGCACAATGTTGTTGAAATGGTGTTAAATATTTGTACATTGCTTAAGCCACCATTAACACTGAATCCTTTCTGTATCTGCTCGTCGTTGCTGTCTAGTTAATTTATTTACATTGCCAATGGCTTGGTTAATTGTACAAGCAATATATTTTATATAGTTATTTTTGCACAGCTACATTTTATGACTCAGCAATGAGAATTCAGCGCATGCTACAATTGCAGTTTATATCAAAGAGTAAAACAGAATTGGTTTGGGGGCTCAGCACCATCAGCTTTATTTTATGCTGTACGTTTAATGCAGTTGTTGTCATGTTATCAGTATTGTGAGCTTTATTAGCTGTGATCACATACTGTCCTGAACATTACTGCCACCATGGAGAGCAAAATAAAGACCAGCTAAGGAAAAACACACCTGTCTGCTAGTTTTTTTCTTAAACAGATTATAATTGACACATTTTAAAAGGTCTAAACATACAATTATTTAGCGTGTTTCTACCAGGAAAGTTTACTTGTTTAGATCAAAAGCAGATTTTTTATTTATTTGTTAGCTCTACTTGCAAAGCGTAGTGGGATTTGTTGTAGCGGTGGTAAATAATAGAGATGGCACAGACACCGTGCAGGGAGGCGGAGTTATGTGACCAAAAGTAGTTGTTATATATCTGGATGGTCAATTAACTGAGTTCACTATATAGTCATTGAGTGATGGACGTGTGGACGTTCAGACACAGCCTGTTTCAAGTGCCACAACACGGCTATGTCTAGGACGGTAGTCACTTTCCTCTGTTAAGCTACTATTAACCTTGAGACATTTTTAGCAAGAAAAGGGACTGCTGCTGGTCAGTCAACAGTCCTTTTTTCAATAAAACCTCAGCAGCTCCACAGGCTGATTAACTCAAAGCTAAAAAAAAAAAAACTCCAAACAGGTAATGGGTGTGATTCTCACACTTTCATTTCCATCACTGGTGCTTTGTAAGCTGCTTTTCTGATAACTTTTATTAGAATCAATGATACAACCTTTTCAGCCATATTTATTGATATGCTTCTGTACCAAACCAAGCACGTCTGTGAAACTTAATCATCATAGTTTTTAATTGAACATACAGTATCTCTCAACAAAACACAGAATCAAATTGTTCCATACTTTGTTTCATTGAAACATTGACAAATCTACAGCACAAGTCTTTGAGTTGCAGTTGAATAAATATCATTTTTTAAAGTGAGATTCAACAGTCGAAGCATTTATAATCTGTTTTCTAATGACAGCAATTCTAAACAAACTGTTTACTGACTGGACTTCCACCGGGTTATTGCCATCTTCAGGGACCTGTTTGGGGTGAGCAGGGTGGTCTTCAGCGGCAGGTTAGTCATTGGGCTTGTTTTGTTCTTGCCTCGGATCCAGCTCTCGATGGATTCCCTCTCGTAGGAGTACCCATCTATAGAGCAGTTGGAAATAAGACACCAATTTAACTTTTTAACACTGAAGCGATGGGGGGCAAAGATTTTTTTTTCCTTTTTATGAACAAACCTGCAGCTATTACTGGATCCTTCATCAGCTCCCTGGAGATTGGGCACAGAAACTCATCTGGAGCTTCTGAACCACTCTGCTCCAACTTGAGGGCCTCAATTTTCCTTAGTAGACGTCCACGAAGACCTATGGACTCTGGGGAAAAATAAATAACACCAGTAGCCACATAATGTTAGTCAGTAGGACACTGTTCACATGAAAATCTTTAGCTATGTCTTTTCTAGGGGTCAACTTGGTTTATTTACTTTCTCTTGAGCTAAAGTGAGTAAATGCACAGAAAAGCGGCTGAAGCAAAGAAAAGAAGCGGGAAAAAATCTGTGCTGAGTCACAAAGAACCAGACACTTTGCTCCACAGCTAAGGCTCCTGTTATTGTGCTAGAGAATAAAGGTCCAGCACGTCCAAAAGAGCAAAAATCTCTGTGCACGTCTCTGCCTGCTGATGCCCGCTCCTCTGAATTTATCTGCAGCAAATTTCCTAAACAGCTAAAACGGCAGGGCGACCTTTATGGCTGAATATGATTTGTTGTGTGTCTGTGTGTAATGGCTGAGCCGCAGAGAAGCATGTCTCATTCAGGCAGCATGAACAGCTGCCATGACATTTTCTAGCATGACTTTTCAAATCTTGACAACTTTATTACAATAGAAGGCGCTAAATGATTCAACATATTTGAACCCATTTTCTGCTCTGTGACACTAATGCAACCATGAAAGTGTTGCAATTTCGTTTAAAAGGATTGGCAATAAGGGATAGTGAAGTTTTAGGTAGCAGAACGGAAATTTATTTATCAAATTATATATCTTAGAGAATAGCTGGAGACTATTCAAAGCAAGCAATATTTCTTTTTTGCTTTAGCCCCAGAAAAAAGTCACTAAAACTCTAGATTGGAACATATTTAAACTTCCTTTCAATAACCCATACGTTGAATAAAGACATTGTAAGTGATAGGTCACAGTAAAACATAGAAAAAGGGACATTGTAACCAGCTGCTATCATCACAAGAAGAAGGCAAGAAAGCAGTGGGTTCTTATTGCAACCACTTAAGCAGTGTTTCATGCCTTGGTGTAAACTGTGTACATCCCTAGACATTCATTTAACGTTTATTAATACAGGCTTTCTCACTGAGATCCAATATGTCATTTACAAAAGAGACCTGCTTTAATAATAACAAAAACACATAAAGCTAAAGATATTAAAGCAACTCAAATTAAAAACAACCGACTCAAATTAAATGAGGTTATAACAAATCGCAATGAGAGTTTGCTGAGATTTATTTAAAGAAATGTCAGTTATTACAGAGAAATAACTGGAGTCCTCTGTTCAGACAGAAGTAAAAATTGGAATAATTGTCCATAATGAAAAGCATAACATTTAAAATGAAAGGATGCGGGAATCAGGAGTGGTGCTTTGCTGCAGGAGGACATTGGAACCCTTTTCAAAAGAGATGGGATGAGGAAAAATATTGCAGCAAAAGCTCAAAACCTTCACCAGGACATTATAACTAAAGCACATATTTCATAATGGACATGGAGTGACAAAGCCCCTGATCCTAGTCCTACTTTGTGGGAAAAGCTGTGGGAGGGCCAACCCACAAACGCGACTCGCGCAAATACCTCAAAATATTTGACCCAAGTGATGGTTAAAAAAACAACACAAAACATTCAAACAAAATAGCAGTTATAACAAATAATGCATGTAACCATATTTTAAAGGTTTTTCAAGAGATTTTTCTTCAGCGTCTTAAAAAAAAGTGTATCTTTCATTATTTTGACAGTTAACCAAAGACATTTCTGTAACCTTAAATGACTTGAACTGGGAAGAGTTTAGTCTCATTTATTATCAGGCAGTAGGAAAAAGATTTTCACTTGTTTATGGAAATGAATATATTCTAAATTCTGAATAATTTCCTAAAGCCTAAACTACAACTGCAAGTTCTGCTAGAAAAAAACAACTATCTAACGAGCAGTTAATTGCCAGAAACTTGCAGTGATAAGGCAAACACTTTAATTACTGCCTCTGTTTACATGCAATTTTCACAAGTGTTACATTTATTTAAGAATTAAACAAGGCTGCTCAGTGGAGCAGTGGGTAGCGCCACTTGCCTTGCAGCTAGAAGGTTCCGGGTTTGTTTCCCGGCCTGGTGTCTTTCTGCATGGAGTTTGCATGTTCTCCCTGAGCATGTGTGGGTTCTCTCCGGGTACTCTGACTTCCTTCCACAGTCCAAAAACATGACTGTTAGGTTAATTGGCTTCTCTAAATTCTCCATAGGTGTGGGTTAATGGTTTTTTTGTCCAGTTTGTCTCTGTGTTGCCCTGTGATGGACTAGATAGGCACCAGCAACCCTTGTGACCCCAGCAGGGATAAGTGTGACAGAAAATGGATGGATGGATAAGACTTCAACATAAAGATGTTTAGCTTGCTGGGATGACCGTTGAGGTAATCGCTCTGTTCCATTTTTGTACTCTTCTGAACCTTGTAAAAGGTTTTGGATATTAGTTTCAGAGTAATTTCTGATTCTAAAACTCTTTTTTAAATCATTGTTTCTTTGTAGCTATCACCTTTAACATTGTAAAACATGGAGAAAATAAAAACATGGTATCCTCTGGATTCAGATGTATATTTACATGTATATAATTTACATGACACTCAATGAGCTGTATTGTTTAGTGGCTTTTTGTACATAAGATGCTGAAATGTTTTCAGATTCATAATCTCAATTAAAAACTTGATTGTGCCAATGGCAGCTATAAGAGATGTAACCTGTAGATAACTTTCCCGACCAAACTTTTTTTTTTCTTGTCAGGGCTCAGGACTTGCTCACGCAGTATAGCAGTCTATTTCTTCAATCTTCACTGCAAAAAAAAAAGTCTTAAGCTGAATCTCCCACAAAGGGGAAGAAAAGGTTGTCTGTTGATGCCGTTTATGTTAATCCAATGCAAAAGTATTCCCGCCTGTATAATTTATCTGTTTTTTGAAAACAAAATCTTAGTATTTTTATGTTTTAGATTTTATGGGATAAAAAAGTAAAATGTAAATTAGAGTTGAATTAAAGTAAAAGGAGACTTAAGGAGATTTTAACAAACAAACAAAAAATCTTGAGTGTGGAAGGAAAATGTATCTAAACCCCCCCCAATCAAAGTGCCCCAAAAAAGAAAAATAAATAATTGCAGCACAATCAATTCAGAGGGAACCGATTTTTTTAAGAAATGGAACTCTTCCAGTGTATTAATATTCCTGCATTTTAGACTTAGATTTCGACAACGTTTATTACAAAATTTCATTTTGTGCAGGTTTCATGACATTTCTATTCTTTAAAGTGCAGTAGTGATCAAATGTAAACAGTGTGGGAGAAAAAACATGGTGCAAAAAAACCCAAATTGATATAGAAGTTCAGAGCATTAAATATATATGGTGCAGTTTTGCAGTGTTTTGGTTTGGTGTTTGGCAGAGTCAGTGACATGATTTTAGAGTTTTCTCAACAGTTCAGCTGTCTGATGGCTGTGGGGAAGAAGCAGCTTCGGAATCTGCTGGACCTGCATCGAATGATGCGAAGCTTCTTCCCAGAGGGCAGCAGAGAGAACAGTCCATGGTGGGGGTTTTAGGGGTCATTGATAAAAAAAAAACACAGTGATTTGACAGAAAACAGCATAGAGGGAGGTTGAAGCGTGGAGCAGATGGCTAGAGACCAGGAATCAAACCCAGGACCACCGCATTGAGGACTATTGCTTCCACACATCTTCCCCCTCATCTACACAAAGCATCCTGCGAGCCACCATTTTCTGACTTCTTAAGATTCTTAAGTAGGAAAATTAGTGTCGGCATATGCCTATGAACAGCACAGTAAATCCCCACTACAAGCTGTAAATATTCTTCAAGGTCTTAATTAAACTAACTTAATTTAACTTTTATCATACAAGAATATGCAGAAAAATGTTACCAATACCAATGTGTTTTGGTAAAAGTTTAAACTTTAGCTCTGACAGAAACCGAAAAATATTGTTCAAAAGAGACTATTGATTCTCATCTAATGTTCCTGACTATATATTTCTATGCAATACTTTCACCTGAATGCAATTATTTACCAAGGTGACACTCAGGTATTCTCTCACCGTTCAAGGAGAAGTCACTCAGCCTCCAATCTGAACACATAATTCCAATTAATTATATATTTCCTTGCTTGCACTGAATGGTGTCTTTAGAGTCATGGTGCAGGAAATTAATACGAATAATAAATAAAAAGAACGCACACTACAGAAAAAGTACCATGTATCTGTGTTGCTAAGAGCCAGTTAACTCATAAAGAGCTCATCCAGCTTATGCTCATCACAACATTGCAATTCAAATGCTAAAAAAAACAAAAAACAAACAGAAGAAACCAGCACAGGGAGTCCGGTTTATGCTGGGAAAATGACAGCATTAAATCAGGTGAACTCTTCCACCCCCTCAAGTCCTGGCTTTCAGCTAATAAACTTTGTTAGAAAAGCAGCACTTCACCAAAGTAATACTTCGTTTAGGATTTCTATACACTCCAGGATCTTTCATCATAAGTACTATACAGTCCACTTTACATTTAGATTGATCATTTGATGGAATAGGGAGGGGTGGTATGAATATTTCATCAAGTTTACTGAAATCATACTTGCTGTGTGTGTGGTGTGCATCTGTGTGTGTTAGAGTAAGAGATGGTGAGTGAGTGTATTCCTATGCAAATCCATCCCCTATTTGCATGCATCAAAAATTATGTTTTATACTGTGGGGATGTAGGTTGCACAGCATGACAGAAAATGTGGCAATCTGTCCATTTCTTCTGCAGTAATGATGAGAGCTGTCCTCCATACTAAACACATGGAGATGATATGGGACATGCTTTGCATAACGGAGCAGCATGTGAGTCTGGCTTGGCAGTTTGGTGCTATAAAATTAAAGGATTGGACATAAGATTGTAATTATGATCAGAGTTTTTGTATGTAAGCTGAAGACAGAAGGATGCATTTTGAAACTTATGTGTGATCTAAGAATTTAAACAATATTTCAAGTGTAATGGGGTATGCTCTCTTGTCTATTGATTTTAACACAACATTCCAAAAACATTAAACTGATGAAATAGCTTTCGCTAAATAATTTATCAGACAGATAGCCCTCAGAGATTTAGCTGCATAAAGCAGAAATGCAAGCTTTATTTCACCACATTTTATAGATTACCGTAGAAAAGAACATCAAAAGTAGTGGATATGTTGTCATGTTTGCGGTGCTGAATTAATTTACAAATCTGACAACCAGAGGCAAGCAAGGGTTGTAGAAACTGATGAAATCTCCTAAAATTCTAATAACATTACAAGTCAATGGACCAACTGGAAAAAATATCTTCTACCCCTCACCTTTTGACCTTAGTTCAACAGCAGGGGATGGTGGGAATTAATTGTTTTGACCTGGAGAGCGTTAATAGTAGGACATTGGCTCACATCCAGTCCAATGCTCTAGAAGACATGCAGAACAGTAACAAACTATTGGAGCAACACTAAATTTTAATGCAATACTAAGTTTCTGAGTTGTTCCAAATCCAAATGTTTTGCAAAAGCCTCAACAAAAAGATGACAGGACATAATCTCATGTCATACTATGCAGACTCTTTGTATACACTGATGAATATCTTCTCACCACAGAGTGTTTAATGCTTAAAAGGACGCCAGTAGCAGCCTAGTTCAACTGATTTCCTGGTTTATTTCGCTGCATTCACAGCATGGATAGAGTGTTGACCTTTTACCCCCAGAAAGGTAACAACAACAAATGGATAAACATTTTGTCGTAAAAGTAACTGATTTTTTTTCCCCTCATGCGTTAGGGCAAGCATCCACAAAATGCAACACAGGGCATATCATAAGATACAGTGCTACATTTTTTTTTCCTCCTGTTTAAAGCCCATAAAATCAATATTTGAAATGTTACCATAGCCTTGGCAAAGTAGGAAACCGTGTGATAGCAGGTTCACAGGCAAGTGAAACAAAGCCTTGGTAACTTAAGCATATAAGTTTGTAAAGATCACAGAAATTAACCTAAGGATTTTTCTTTTTACTTGACATAAGATACATTTGCCTCAAATCAGTGAATTAGTTTGTTGATTAAAGTTATCCGAAACATTTTAAATGTTGATCTGCTTTAGCCAAACCTCATGAAGCATCATTAATCTTGAAAACCATCATATTTTTGGGGGGAAATCTCACTACTGATGAAACAATTTATATTCAAGAGTGTGGTGGATGATCCTCCCACCACCACATAGTGTTAGTATTTTTTTCTTGCTCTATATGATATTACAATTTATGTTTAAGTTGGTTATTTCTTTTAGACAGGTATTTTCTAACGGGTGCACACTTTAGTTAAAGTCTGTCTGAATGGTTTATTTACACTTGTTCTTTTGTTTGAGGTGCTGCTGATGCAAACCAGCTGGAGGAGGAAACCTGGAGCGTACCATTTTTGAAAGACTGACGGGGGAGACTTGTTTCAAGTTGTTTTCAATGAGTTTATCACTTAAATACTCACTTGTTGTTTCTGCTAAGTAAAAGTTAGTTTTGCTTTATTTGTTTCATAGAATGGTGAATTTTGTATTTATTGGTTCTTTTGATATGTTGTGCCTCCCTCATGTGGTAGACTTGGGTTACTCTATCCCTTTTTAAGCAGCCTTTAGTTCTTTGTTTGCAGGTCAGTTTTTTTGTTTGAGTTGGATCCTCAGTGTACCTCAGTTAAGTTGGGCCCAGATCCATGTTATTTTGTATTTAAGGTATTTTGTATTGCTTTTGAGCCTTTGTTAACCATTTTTGACACAATTAAATTAAAGCACTTTTTAAATTTTTGAACACCTTTTGTCCTTATTTAGATTTGGTCCCTCACAAAGCGCAAAGAGGATACTGGTGGCATGATGGCCCATGATGGACATTATTCATGACTGGAAGGTTGAGGGTATTGGTGCGATTTCAATAAGTAGACAAACATACTCCATCCTCACCTATTCCCAGCTCGGCCACAGTCTCCTTGCTCATGTGATTCATCTCAGATCCGTCTATGTTGTTGGCTTTGAAGATCTCAACGAGCTCATTCAGACCTTCTTCACACAGCCAGTTCTGAACATCCTTCTCAGTCCAATCGGGTAACAGCAACCTGGAGTGACCTAGCAGTTTCCTTCCTGCAAAAAAAAAAAAAAAAAAAATCACAACAGGATGGGAGGAAGTGTGGAGCTATTACAGCCCAATCTCCTGCAAACAAACAGTTTCCTCTCAAGCTCCACAGAAAGGACACACTCCCTCTGAGCAGATATGGGAGTGATAATTACTTTCATGTGCAGCCATCCAAAAAAGATCTACAAACACAGTTGTATTATCTCAAAGGAAATTGCTTTAAATCAAGTTTTATGCTTTGTATTCAAAATTTGCACCAAGAAAATACTATATTGCATATCCTTTTAAACAAGAGTTAAGGTAAGCAAACCTAAATGCACCCCTGAAAACACACTGAAACAAAAAGAGTTAACAACAATAAACATTTGGTTGCATTACTTCAGTCTGTCCCAGCATCAAGCTTAATTTTCATAAGAGTATCTAAAAAAAAACAACTACAACACTTAGCCAGAACCAACAGGTCATAGTTAAAACCTACTTGCCTTTAGTAAATTTGAATTTAATCTTACAGCTTAGAGAAATAAAATAATCAGCTGCGTTTAGATTAATTTAGATTTAAAAACAGCAATATTTTGACTTTTTTTGTAAAGAAAAATGTCATGTGAATCCCTTTATTGTCCCACAATGGGGAAATTCATTCTCTGCGTTGACCCATCCCCTTGGGGAGCAGTGGGCTGCTATTGTGTGGTGCCTGGGGAGCAGTCGGGGTTAAGGATCTTGCTCAGGGACCCAGAGTGCAGTCTGTGGGGATTGAACCGGGTACTTTACTGTAACCACTAGGCCAACACTCCCTCGAACATTACCTTTGTATGAGGAATCCTAAAATAGGACATAAATGGCTGTATTTCAGAAATGTAAAAGTAAAGCAGTTCATGCAAAAGCAAATAATTCCCAGAAGGACCACATCCTTAACTTTGAACAAACTGAAGAAAACTGGTCCCCTCAATTCTTCTTTCATCTGTTACAGTAATGCAAAATGTAACACCTAAACTGCATGGGGAAATTTATTTTTAGGTTTCAGCAATCATAAGGAAGGACCCTACTTTGCTGGAATACTGGCTGATACAGGGTATCATCTGGAGTCTCTCAGTCTAGGAAGCTGACTCACTGGAACGATTTGCAGAGAGCCAGGAAATTTCAGTCCTTTACCGCAGTTAGAGGAGTCACAGAGTGCAGTGTTTAAAGCCGGGAGTCTTTTTGTTTCACTTTTGAAATAACAAAAAATAAAAACTGTACTTTAAACCTACATGTGAGAAAAGTAGCAAAGCATTTGATATAATGTAAATATACTCAACCAAGTAAATCTTAAAGCTACATGAGAGAAAATGATTGACCAAAAGAAATCTGGAAAAAAAAAACAAAGATACTGTACTTTACTTTAGATTACCACTGCTTGAAAAGATAAATGACCTCCTGGATGAGAATAAATTATTCTAAAATTAAAAAAAGAATACGACCACCTGGAACCACATTTAGGTTAAAGAAATACCCTTTTCTAATTCTCAGTAATTTTGGTTCAGCCTTATTGAAAATATTTAGAGGTGGGTATAGTACCAAAAAGTGTAGTTAAGTAAAAGTAGCAGTACTTCATCACATTTTATTAAAGTAAACGTAAAAAGTAGCCTTTAAGGGAATTACTGAAGAGAGAAACAAGTAGTTTGCAGAAAGACTATTCAAGTATTGAGTAATTGACTACCCATTAACAGAACAACTTATTTAATGTTATGAGTTATAAAACTTCATAGTTCCAGTATGTAGAATAGACTAAATAACATTATACTGTTTACTGTATTATCCCCCAACCTCCGAATTATATGGCAGATTCAGCAGATGAAATTAACATTTAACCAACAAGCTTTGAATACATTAAGAAAATCTCTTAATGGTGCATATTTGTTTAAAACAAGCTTGTTTTCATAAAGTAAACTTACTTAGCACTGATGGAGAGCTCAGAATTCTTACTCAACTAAACGTAGTAATACTTCAAATATTTTTACTCAAGAGTATACAATACAATGTTGTAAAAAACTACTCCTAAAGGTATATTTTTTCAAATATTACTCAAGTAAGTGTAACTGAGTAAATGTAACTAGTTACTACCCACCTGTGCAAATGTCTATGATCAAGTGTGCCTTTTACCAATTGCTTTAGGAATAGATAAGGTTAATATTTTATTTTAAAATGTTGCAGAGTATCAAGTCCTTTTTAATTAGCACCGTTAGATATTTAAATATGAGCTTAAAAGTAAACTCGTCTCAAAGAAGGAGATATATTTACAGTTTTATATAATGTTGTGCCGATGCCATTTTTTGGCCCCGATACCAATACCCGATACCTGGCTGTGCAGTATTGGCCGATACCTGTACCATACCGATACCATCTGTTTGAAATTGATGTGTGTGTATATATGAAGAACTGCATACTACTTGGATGTAAAATAATTGCCATCATGGCTTTGTCAAGCTGCTGCCTACCTTTGTGTAGCAGGAAAAAGACTAATACAAAGTGAATCCAGTAGAACATTTTATTGCCTACGTGGAATGGGTGACAATAGCTGAATAAACTTTTGGCTCTCAAATTGTTTCCGTGCCTTATTTGTCGGTAGTCGGCGATACATATACCAACATTTTAGTGCTGGATTGGTTCCCCGCCTGATACTGGTATCGGTGCAACACTAGTTTTATATAATAAAACTAGTGTGACTCGTATTATTCTTTAGACCCTGAAAAATGTCTCTGGTGGTTACAAAGATTATTAAATGAAAGTTAGTGATTTATGTGATTTTTTTTTTTATATCAGTAATTTATCAAATAATCAAATGTTTCACACTGTATAACCTCTAAACACAACAGCACATAGAGCCTTAAAAAGTTTTCTCTCTTCTTTTTTCATTTTATATTTACCGTACTTCTTTCTGGCAAAAATCCCTGAAATTCAATTTATGTTATGCTAAAGCTTTAAATCACCTCTCATCTTATTTGGCTTGTCTTTTATTTATTTTTTTATGTCAAAAGTTTTTTTTTTCCTTTGCAAAAAAGCTTTAAAACAAAATGGCAGTCTGCTTTGTTGTTGCCAACATTTACATCAACTTCTGTTTTAGTTTTACGTTAGCTATCTTTATCAGATCATATTATGTTATTAGTCATATAAAATGTTTTAAGTTGTAACCAAAGACCTAAAGCTGGGAGCAACTAGACCTCTGGTGTTTCTTAATGATATTTCATCTCTCTTTTCAAAGGCTACTTCAGTTCTGAGGCCTTTTGCATGAGAGGCAATGTCCTCCAGGAAACAAGAGAACAAGCCTAGCCGCCTTCTGATTAAACATGTAGGATTTTAGTGTCCTGGAGGACTGAGAATCTAAACCAGTTGAATATAGTAAAGGTTTCATCTCTTTTACTGAATCCAGTAAATGAATGGCTCGATTCAATGAAAACAAACCTTCAAAATAAAATCTGCTTCACATAAACAGCATCATGGAGGCCAAATAGGTCAGGGATACGATTGTGGAGATTTAAAAAGTGCCTACATCTTTCAATATCTCACAGCCAATGCACCAATTCATGGCCGTTTAGTTAAACTTACAGCAAGAACATTACTCAGTGAGACGTTGCTGAGAAATTGCTCTCATTGAGCCTCAGAGAGGCACAATTTGAGAGAAACTGATGACAGCCACTTGTGATACACCACAAATCTGGACTCTGTGGAAGAATAATAAAAGGAAAGCTCTCTCTGAAAGATGGCCATAGAAAGTAACCTTTTTCAGATTATGAACCATGTAGAGGACACAGTGCTTTGATGAGGATAATACATTGTCGGTTCTTGATCAACAAACCTGTGTGTGAACCCAAAAACATCACCCTGAGTACACTATTCCTATGGTGAAACATGGTGGTGGCATCAGCATGTTGTGGGGATATCATTCTTCAGCAGGTAGAGGGAAGCTGATCAGAGTTCTAATGGACTAATGGCGGGTTCACCTTCCAAACCAGTTTAGTTCAATTCCAATTCAGTTTATCTATAGAGCACCAATTCGCAACACGTCATCTCAAGGAACTTCATGGAGACGATCCAAAATTTAATTTAGCATCTATGGCAAGAGTTGGAATTAAAGCATTTTTGAGCCATTCTCCATCCAGTCTGGACTATTACAGAAGAATGAAAGCCAACAGCAATAAGAAAAGCTAAAATAATTAAGCCTTTCATAAAATGTATTTTTATGAATAATAAATACACATTTAAAATCAGTCATCATCCACCTATGCTCTATGAATATGCTGGTTTACTACGGTACATGAAGCCAAAGAACACACTGAAGTTTGTGGTTGTAACATACAAAAAGTGATATTGAAGTTTGAAGACAAAAATTGTTTTTCTAAAGCACTGTCAATCTAGGGAAGTATTCAGCATTTCAATATTGTTTGCTGTTTTGCTTTAAAATATTGGGCTCTTAATTCAAATAAACAAGTCAGGTTACATGGGTGAAAGCAGGATTTGGACAAATGAATGTTTCCTCTTCAAAAGGAATACCACTCAATTATTATTCAAGCAATACTGAACAAAGAAAGATTTCTTTTTCTTCACAAGGTCACCACTTTACATTATTTTAATACTTGTGGTAGACTGTGCTGTGTGAGCAAGTTACGCAAGAGGAGCCATTACCATGAAACAACCAAATAAATCCACATGCCAACTGAATACTTGATGGTTTGACAGAGGAAAAGAGAGTGAAGGTTATATACCTTGACAGGCCTGTGACTCAGCCGCTGCAGAAAAAACAAACATAAAAGGGAATATATTTATTGTATGAAAGACAGAATGAAACTAGATTAAAGTGAAGACATGGAGAGGCTGTATTAAAAGACAGGTTTTAATGTAGAGGGAATTTGTTTTATCAACATCATGCTGACTATTGTCAGATGGAGGAGCTGTTCCGACGAGGCTTTAAAGGCCTCCAGATGTTTATCAATTGCATGTTTTCTCTCACTACAAGCAGGAACTTATCTTTAGTAGCATTACTCCCATTATAAAAGCAGTCCTGAGTATCAATGCTTGCCTATCCCGCTGCACCAGTAAATATCTTTCCAGGAAGGTTTATAATATTGACAAAACCACTCAATTTAAGATAAAATTATAAAAAGGTGAGAAACTCAAATGCAACTGTATTTACCAGTGTCTTTGCATCCATCGCCGATTTTCCACACATGAACTGATCTGTCCAATGAGCCAGTCGCCATCAGGCCAAGGGCAGGAGACACAGCAACTGCTGTCACATATCTACAGAAAAGTGAGAGAGCAGGAAAGTGAAGGGTGTGTTGGATAAGCTGAAGGTGGCACAGGAAGCGATCATTCTCAGAAATCAGACCCCCCCTACCACAAAAAAAAGAAGAGATGGTCTCAAAACATCCCTAAATCCTTTCAAACACTTCAAAGCACTTTGGTGGTTCTTACCTGTGGTGCCACATCAATGACTGTGCAGAGAGCAGAAATATACTGTTGCATCACTGCACCCAGCATTTCTGGGAGAAACTAATCAAGCAAAAGTCGCACATTTTGATCTGAAACACCAGGGCTTCTTATTCTGGTGCTAAGCTGAGAGCTGCAGAGATTGCATCGCAGCAGGAGGGTTGGGTAATTTACCTGTCATGTTCCTTCAAGGTGTGGAGCAGGGTACCCAGGTTCTGTAAACAAAGTACAAACTGTTCAGCTGAATTGTTTTTGGGTCCTTGTTCAATGAGAAGATGCTTTTTTGGTTCAGAAATCCTCCTGTTATCAATGTGAACTGAGGTGGGATAATAAAAATCACACTTTTGTGAACATTACTTACCGCATCATATACCGTTACACTTTTATCCACCGATCTGTAATAATTAAAGTAAATAAGGTCACCTCATGATCAAAAGCCCATATGCATGCATTTACATTACAGATTAATCATGTAGGATTAGAAGTTTATAAAAATGCAAAAGACAAGAGGAGAATAAGACAGATTAATCTTCAGTATGTTTGACTTTCAGCCAAGAGCAACAGAAGGAGCCAACAGAAGCTTTTATAATAAAGTAGACTTCTCCTGTGGCTGACAGAGAGAACACCAAGATCTATACACAGCAGAGGCATCTGCTACTTACTCAGAATAAAGACATAAAATCATTAACGTTTCAATTTTAAAAGGGCATACATAATTTTTTACAACTGCTTCTTTTTCAATGTATTTGGGTTTGTAGTGCATGGCAGTTTTATGTGTTTAAATGTTTGAGATCAAACAGTATGTGTGAATAAAAATTAAGCATAAGGTTGTACAAAGTAAACTACAAAGTATTCAAGAGCCGATAGAGTAACACTTTTAGGAATGGACCACTGAACTTTGGGATTAATGAATGTTAATGGTCATCTACGTATGACATAAAATACTGACAGAAAGTCTGTGGCAAAAAGTAAAAATTTATGTGATTCTTTATTTGATTTTTCCAATGTGGTTGAGAAAATTAGGAGAAATACCACCAATCAAACCGGAACCCCAAAGAGGGGATCTAAAAGCTCTGAGTGGCAAGCTGCAGTCTGCCTCTTACGATTAACATAAGTTTGACTGCTTATGCTGGGCATACACTGTACAATTTTCACCCTTTTTGGGCTGATTCTCCAGTCATGGGAGAATTTCTTTGGTCGGACCGAGTTTCTGCCTTATTGTGCATCCTCCGCCGTGTAGTATACAGGGTAACAAGGGGCAATTAGCTTTTCACAACCACCTACCGATCAGGAATCATAAGGTTGGGAGATAATAAAAAATAATAATAAACATGTTGGAAATTCAGTTGGCCATCGAAAGGTGGTCGTGGATAAATCCTGCTGATGAAGGAGAGCTATGTTCCGATTTACCAGAAACTTGCGCACTGCGCATGTGCAAACAAGGGAGTTCTTCTTCTTGCAGATTGACGAGTCCAACCACTGCCATCTCTATGCGCTGAGTCAGACGTGTGGGTTTTTTAGACATACAGAGTGAGCATTTAGATCTCATCAAAGCGTTGGGCCACACAGTGTAAGGACATACATCTTGAGCTGTGAAATCTTAAATCAAGCAATTTCATCCTACAGTTTGAGCTGTATTTGAGTGCAATGATTGCAAATATCATACAGTGTATGCCCGGCCTTAACAGATCATTTGGTTCTGACAACCAAGGTTATTGAAAACGTTTTTTGATGACAAACAACACATCAGGTCAGCTTAGTGGTCTACTTCAAGCAGTCCTCCCTGCATGATGGCCTCTTGTCTCTTCCTAAAAATGTAAACAAAGTTCTATTTGTTTGTATCTTTTATAGCAAACCGAATCGCTATTTCATTTTCTATTTTGCTTTTTTTTTCTTTTTTTTTTTAGGATCAAATAAGAAAATGATATTCCATGAACCTTGTGATAGATTTTTTTTTACAGTAGATGGTGCCTTTACAAGTTAAATATCTTTGTCAATTTTTGGACGTCCATGTCCCGGCCGTTGCTCCTGTTGTTTTTAAAGTTTTTTTTAAAAATGAAATAGTAGGTAGCGATTTACTTATATTTTATGTTATAAAATATGTTAGTTGCCATTTAAACACATTTTGTTCATAGAAATTGATTTTTGTTGGTGTGACGAGCTTCTCACCCAGAGACAACCATCTCTCCATCCGCAGAGAAAGCACAGGACAGAACTGGAGCCGTTTGACCAGTGAGATTGTAAAGAAGCTTCATGATCCAAGCTGAAGGACAACATGAATACAAAAAAAAAAAAAAAGATGAAGAGATCAAACAAAAAGTTGTTTTCAACTTAAAATGCTATTCATTTGCTCATGTTGACTTCAATATCTTGTTCCTTTTAATATAGGAACATGTTTAACTTTCCTTTTTGCTGCGACTCTGCCACCTGCTGTTGGGTGACTGGAGGCAAAAAAGGGTATACCTTTTTGAAATAAAGTAAAAAAAAAATCAACTTTCACAATTCTTCTTTTCAAACTATTTCAACAAAATAGCTTATGTTATCTATAAGCAATGTCTTTAAATTGTTTAAATAATCAAAATTCTCTGCAAAGTTAGTCAATATTAAACATATCTTCTTTTTTCAGCTTCCCTTAACAATCAAAACACATTTTATTTGCAGGTATTTCTACTTTGGCTTTAGGCATAACTATGCACAGTTTCACCTCTATCCCTCCGTACTGTTGAAACAGAGATCAGCTTCTCTTTAAGCCAGAAGGAGCAGATCTCCATTCCAGTCCTCCCTTACCATAAACAGAGTAATATGACTTAGATATAAAACAAATTGAATGGGTGGATGATATCTGCATTCTTTTGTTCATGTCATGTTACAGAGGCATATATTTGAGAATACATGGTTTTATATATGCATGGATCACAACCATTTCCCAAAATTACATTGTCAAAACAATATTTATGTAGGTAGGTTTTGTGTACATTGATTGATATATTTTAAGCAGCTATTTATTTTAATTGTATTTACTGCATGTAAGGCTCAAATGCATGTATTCAGTAAAATCAAAATTGGGGAATTGAAATAAAAAATTAAGTGCATATTTTAAAGCATATACTCTCTTTGCTCTTTGGTACAAATACTGCCATTAATGTAGCTTGGAACTCCACCTCAATGATAATGAGGTCTTGAAAAGGCCCAGTTTATCTCCCTTTTTGGGTCTGATGTGTCTCATCTTATTCTTAAGACTCCATGGATTCTTATGAAACTTTTCTGGACAATTAATCTTAATGATCGTTCCTGGTTCAAAGGTCTTACATTCAATCATTTATGCCCATGCAGCATGGTTTATGCATCTATGCTAAACGCTAGTCTTCCACACATTTTATTCGACTCAATCTTCCATTAATATGCTTGGATACAGGACTCCAAAGAGTTGGCTTTTTCTAAATCCCTTACAATTTAGTTTTATTATTCTCGTTTAAGAAAAGCTCAGCTGTACGCCATAATCATTTAACTTAAGAGAAGTAAATGTAAATCACTTAATATGTGTAGTTTCCTTTTTTTGAAATAAACTACATACTATGAGATGCACATGCATGTGAAATAAAAAGTTGATCATGAGGGCTACCGGTATGTCCAAACATCCTCCCTAATCACTATATAGGGCATTATATAGTGGTTACACCATTTTAAATAAGGTCTGAATGTCTGGTGGATGAAAAAAAGAGTAGACTCGAAATTTCCCACAATGCACCTTGAAAGTAGTGATTGTCATTACCCGATCCGTACCATCAGCTCATTTGCGCGTGCGCAAACAGAATAACTTCCGGTGGCAATATTTCCCTTTTCTTACTTTTTTATTCTTTTGTATTTTTTAGAGGCATGGGTTTTTTTTTGTATACCTTTGTATTTTCGTCAATATTGCATTTTCTAAAAATAAAAAACCAGAAATACATAAAAAAGTTCAATCGCCTTGTGATAGTTACTTTGACTGCTCTGAGCATGCGCAAATATACGTCACACAGCGTATATATTTAAATTTGTTTAAATATTTGATTTACTCTGTACTTAACTATGCACTCCAGCAGTACTGATCCCACAATGGATTCATTTGCTACCTTTCGTGACCTGCAGTTTTTCATTGATAAGGGAACATTTCCCGAAAATTTGGATTTTTATTCCAGAAAAATGACGTCAAGCAATACAATGGATTGAATTAAAAAGCATCCATTTCTTCCAGAAAAGTCTTCAATATTGTCTTTACGATGTAGTTTAGTATTCTTTAATTATTTAAGGATATAAATAAAGTTTTTTCAGTACCATAATTACATTATTTTTTGGCGACCCGGAAGTTATTCTGTTCGCGCAGGCGCAAATGAGCTGATGGTACGGATCGTGCTACCGGTACGGATCGGGTAGCGACAGTGATCATTGATGGTCTCTAGAAAAGCAGATATATCCCAGATTGCTTTGGAAGAGCTTTCCTCGCAAAGCATCATGGGATTTATTGTAAGTAAATAACAATAAATAACAAGGCACAGGCACTGTGCGGGGAGGCGGAGTTACGTGACCAACGGGGAGCCAAAAGTAGTGATCATCTGTCTGAACAGTCAGTTAACTGATTCACTAAAAAGTCCACTATATAGTCTCCGATCTATATAGTGATTGAGGGATTTAGGATTTATGGTGGACATTCAGATACAGCCAATATGTATATCGTGCATTTGCCAAGTAATTAACCAAGATACTTAAATATTCAAATTTTGTATGAAACCATTTGAAATATATATTTTTTTAAACAAATAAGTCAAATAAATCAATACTAAGAGAAAATATATTACATATAAGAAAAAATCCTAGTTTCCAACTTTATCTTTAAAATTCTTTGTTTTCTTCTTTGAATCACCGACACTTGAGTCTTGTTTCATAATCATTTTTTATAAAAGGCAAGACAGTTTCAGGCTTAGTCTCGACTGAGCAGAAGGGTTACGAATCACTGAAACAAAGACAGACGTTTGCTCAACGTCCTTCAACATTCTGCTCAGGAGACAAGAGGACAGAAAAACAAAAAAAAACCACCATGGACTTGGGTTGCCATGCGGGGCACATCATATTCTTCAGAGAACGACCGTTACCATAGCAACACTTCATAGGAACTAACGCTGTTGCATGCCCAAGCACATAACGAAAATGCACCACGTAACCTTATTACATAACCTATGAAGGACCTGTGAAACCTTCTTCCTCTCCAAGAGCTTAAACAACAAAGAAAAAAAGCTGGTGACCTTCCAGATCAAACACACATGGACACAGGTTGATAACAGAATCATCCAGTATTGCTGTATTTTAGAAGGACGTTTTAATCCATTATTAATGAGTCCATCTCTGATTTAAACCCCATAAAAATGACTGTATTCAGCAGAGAGATATATCAAGGTGTCTCCTTCTCTTTCCCGGGGAATAGATTAAAGGAGTTCTTAGCTGAGAGTGTATGGAAGGTGAGAGGTCTTGATCTACCTGCTCCTTCAGACTGAGAAACTCTCCATATTTTCAGCAGGCTGTCTTGACCACAGGAGGCCAATCGAAACTCCACACAGCAGCCCTCTGCAAAGTAAGGAGGAAAAAAGCCAGACTTCATGCTTGATCAAACCAGAAACAGAAGAAGATAAATATGTTGTGACAGCAAGTTGATACAGAGAACACTAACCAGCGGCATCTTTCAATAAAAATAGAGGTGTTTTGAAAAGATAAGTTTGCTTGTGGGAAAAAGGCTGGTTTAAAAAAAAAATCAAAAAGCATCTACTTAGCTACTCCCTAGAATTTGCTCTGGGAGTAGGTAAACAGGTGGAACATGAACTGACCTGTTAAATAACATCAGGTTCATTATATGATCTTTATAAAAACAATAGGTCTTAAATGTTAACGTGCCGCTTAATAAATGTTGGGTTTTTCTGATGTAAAAATCTTTTTCTTTTTAGAAATATCTGTGTGGCTCTGTGGAAATAGTGTCTATTGCCTCTAACATTTGTCTATTGTACTTCCCAGAAGGTCAGCAAATTGATGAGAATGTGTCCCCTATGTGTGACCGCACTGATTCTTCTGTCAGATTTAGTTCTGAAACACTGGCCAGGTCTCAAACAAGTATTCAATTCTTTTTTTAGAGGAGTCATTTTTGCCTATTTTGATCTATGCTCCAACTCAGAGATGCAATAATCTATAAAATGTTCTTATAAATTTCAGATTTCCAGAAATAACCCTGATACTATGTTTAAAAAGAATTAAGGTACAACAACACAGTTTAATCTGCTTTTATACAAATCTAGTTTCTTCTGTAAAAAAGTGACCACAGTCCATGATACTACCACCACCGTGTCTCATAATGAAAAAGGTGGAATTTTGCTTTAGTACCGGTTAGTTTTCTTTTTTTAATTATCTTAAACCGTTTTAAATTTTGGTTAAAGAAGTTCGGGTTTATTTTCATAGACCAAAGGTTTCATTTATTAGGCCGAGAAAGATTCTTGCAGGACTGGAAAATCGCCCCGAAAATCGCACAGTGTACGCCGGGCTTAAGATTGAGTAAACACAAAACTGGGCCTGAAGCTTGCATATGCTCAGTTCCAAGCAAAAGTTATGATCTAAGAAAAACAATCTTTGTTTCCTTGCGCAAACTCCACCTGATCCAAAGGAGTACTCCCACTTTGAAGAGAGGGGACACTAAGGAAACTAGGTTAGGATTTAGGGAGGCTTAAATTCTTTAGGTATAGGGAAGCCACATTTTTTTCAAGTTTTTTGCAAAAAAAAAACAAAAACATATACAGAGTTATTTTTAGCTATGGGCATTGAAAAAAAAATTGTTTTAAAGGATTTGATCCACACACACAAAAAAAAACACTACTAACCCAAATCTCTTCAAACAAAATAAAATATCTAAAAGGGAGTTACAGTTTCCTGGAGTTAAACAGAGGTTAAGTCCATCACAGCTATAACCTTTTTTGTACCATCACACCATTTATTTCAAATCCTTCTGTTCAACTGTGACGATCCTTCCACCTTAGAAAAACAAAGTCTTTTTGGATTATGAAGTTACCAAACATAAATGGAATGATTTTTAATAAATTATCTAAAATAAGTTGGGACAAAAAAAAAAAAACAACTACAAAATTAAGTCAAGGCATGGAAACAAATCCTTAATGTCCTTTTCTTCTTCACAGATGCTTTTATTTCACAGAATACAAACAGATTTATTTCCAAAATCCCAGCAGGACTAATTTTCTGTCCATTTTCTTGCCTATTTACAAGTATAATAAAACATTCCCAAATGAGACCAAAGCTAACTAAAATCTCAAATTCAAATGGTAAATAAATGTTGGAATAATGAACCTAATCAATTGCAACTCACCGACTTTGAACAAAGGTGCGAAGCTGCAACAGGTGACTCCCAAATCATGAACGTCTTTCTTAGCAAGGAGGAGGCTGATGTGATCATCCCATAGTTTCAGGTCTCCGTTGGTGCAGCCGGTCACAAACACCTGACTGCAGGGAGAGAAGCTGCACGCCAAAATGCTGCCTTCACTTACTGCTGCACACCTGTGGGAGAAAAACATTCATAAAGAGTTTCTGGGGAACCTCAAAAGACTGAAAATCGGTAAGGACTACGATCAGGGCTACCATAACCGTGCTCGCATAAAATAAGGAGTTAGGAGGAGGAAGCAGGATGCTTCCTATCACTAGATCATTTAATATAGTGACCTCCTCATATTCCTATCTGGCAAAAAAGAGCAAATGGATTCTCACAATCCTTTGGAACTGCAGGTTTAAACACAGTCCAACACACTGTGTTAACAAAGATACTTCCTCATATGTTAATCTGTGTGACAGACGCAAATGAACACACCTTCATCTGTTTTTGGTTTTATAATGGAAAGTTTTAGCTGTTGTCTTCATTTATGCCACTTGCATATTTTTTGGAGGGTTAAAGCCTGTCCTGAAACCCTTTCATACTGTGGTGTGCACAGACATATTTCAGGGCAGGTGTTCAGGTTGAAAAAGGTGCACCTTATACATCGCATGCAGCCACCAACATCCAAACACCGCCTCATGCTGACGTTTAATGATCTTCCGCAGTCCAAAGGTAGCAATAACAACAAATCAAATCCACTATTATAAAGCCCAGGATTCCATATCTTTGTTTATTGGGTATATATGACAATCAGCAGATTAACTAATATTTACATTTAAATATTAAAAATCATAACTCTATTATCTTATTTGAAGTGTATAATATGTAACAATCTTATTTTAAGGTTAAAACTCTCATTCCATTGACAGATCATCTCATTTCCATCTTCAGATTAGGGACAAATACAGGTATTTTCAGAAAATGTTACATATTTCCAGGTCTTTTATGCACTTTATGGAGTCTAAGATGTTTGTCAATAAACACAGAAATTCAAAATGCAACCCCACTCCAACTGAATAGAACTTTATTAAAGTTATTATTATAAATTGTGACCATTTGGCCTTATGTTTGACCCTATTTGCTTGTAAATGAAATGTTCAACAGACAAAAGGTAACAAAAGAGTTAAATAGATGGCATCAGGGGGTACCTGACAAGGACCATTATAGCAAATCAATAATAACATCTATGAGATGCTTTAAATTTACTTTTTTTTTATTTATTTAATTAAAGGGATGCATTTTAAACTGTTCCTTGGCACCTGGTAGAGACCATTAAAGAAGTTAAGCTGCAAACTAACTTATTTATCTGGACGGTTAGCTGGCCCTTCGCCAGAGCAAGGCTCTATTGAGGTGGTACTATGTGTCTCATGCAGAAAAATTACTAAAATCTAGAGTCTGGGTTTTATGGGCTTTTAAATTCATAAATGTATTCTAAGCCAAAAACTAAAAAAGTAAAAGATAAAAAGATTTCATGTGGGCAATTTTTTGTCCAGAGGTGAAAAAGGGCATGTGTTCTTGCACCACTTAGTGTCTATCTGTGCACGTCCCTGGTACCATTAACCGAGTTCCTATTGACCCCATGAAAGATGAAGGAATACGAGCTACAGTTGGCTGTATTTGGATAGAGCTCTATATGTTTTGGAAAAATGCTTGGTCTCGCTTTAACTGATTAGATACGTTTAAAACACCTGAAAGAAGCTTTATGGGTAACTACAGAACACAAGCAGAGCTGTATCATTCAGAAAACACTACTTTGTCTGGGAAAATAGGCTAAGTTTAGTTTATATTTAGGTTAACCTAAACTTAATAAAAGCCACTTGTCTAATGAACATAGGTTTTTACAACTCTCCTAAAATAATGTTGAAAGATAGTATGTTGTTTCATGGCCCAGTTCTAGGCCTTATCTCTGTTTTAAAGTCGCTGATAGGAGCGAACCCCACCCTCCAAAAAGAAAATTCATTTAGATTCCAGTAGACATTTGTGACAGCTGTTGCCTGTTACGATGACTCCCTCTGCTGATGACGGCTTAGATATGCTGCCAAGAGAGGCGTGAAAGCTGTGAAAGCTCTACTATTTGTAATATTGGAGCGGCAGGAAAAAATATAAGGATTAAGGATTCTTATGCTTTTTAGCACTTGATCTAAGTGCAGTATAGCATGGAGGTGCATCATTGGTACTCAAAATATACATTTATATATTGTTTAAATAACTGTATCTCAGCAAAAGGCTATTCAATGTCTTATCCTCATAATTATCCAAAATTGAAAAAAAATCTTAGCATCTTCAGGTAAGAGCTATGCAAAGCAGAACAGGTGGTGTTTTTATTAGGTTACAGAAAGTTTATTTTTTCATAGTCCTGTTTATTGGGGTAGTAGGTTGTTTTTGGTAGAGGGGGTGCATCAGGAGCTCAACCAGGATTCATGCAAGAATGGCCACTAAGTGAGGAGGTGTGGCAGGGAGTTATTGTTAAAGATTTAAAACTGGTCTTCTGAGAAGGACAGGAAAAATGCTGTAGCAATTCTTTTCCTGGGATTAGTTAACTTATTTTAAATATTATTTCAGTTTAATATGGGAAAAAAGTCAGAATTCTGACTTTAATCTCAGAATTCTGACTTTTTTTTTTTCCAGAATTCTGACTTTAATCTCAGAATTTTGGATCCTAATGTAGATGGGCACCATGAAGGAAGAGATGTGGGAGCGCTCATCTTCACTGACAAAGATGTGAGTGGTTTGGGAGGGCCAGAAACACATTGGTGGAAAATGACAGAATTAGGTGACTTTTTACATGCGCAAGGGGTATGCTCTTCCATTATTGCTATTTCATTAATGGAAGAGCAAAAGGGGATTAAAACAAGAGAGCTAGTTTAGTCAATTTAAAACAGACATGGCTATAGTTTGATGCTGACATGTTTGTTAGCTGTGAGAATTCAGTCAGAATTCTGAGAAAAAAAGTCAAAATTCTGAGATTAAAGTCAGAATTCTAAATTTTTTTTCACATTTTATACTGAAATAAAATTTAAAAATCAGTTAACTTTTTAATTTTTTTCCAGTGGCCCTAATCCTCTTCCATGAAATTCATACCTGAACCTTATATCACAAAAATGAAACCTAAACCTAAAGACGTCTGTGGTTAAATACCTGTAGCGCCCCCTTGTGTCACAAAAAATGACGGGTCAGGGATTATGTTTTAACACCAGCACTATTCGGATAGCCCTTATTGTGGCGATCACTGATGCCCTTCTGAGATATTGCCTATTTACCTTCGTAGCGTCTTAGAAGAGAAGTCCCACAGTGCCACGGTGCCATCACTGGCCCCCGCCAGCAGGAGGCAGGAGTCCGGCGACAGCGCGCAGACTCGGATCGGACTCCGGCCCGGATGCTCCAGCTGTGACAGCCGCTCACCTGTCTCTGAGCTCCACACCATGATGAAGCCGTCTGTGGAGCAGCTGAGCAGGTAGTTTCCGCAGGAGCTGAAGCAGCAGCAGTGAACCCCGTAGCCGTGACCCGTCAGAGGAGAGAAGGGAAGCTCCGAGAAGTCCGCCGTGTTATAAACCCGGAGAGTTTTATCTACTGAGCCGGTGACCAGGAGAGACTGAGAGAAGGCGCAGCAGCTCACCTCATCTGTATGATGGCGAAGTTTGTGAATTAAAGAAACCATGGTTAGGCAGGAAGGAAGAATCTACCAGGGAGAAGCTATTCTTTCTGCCTGCTGAGAAACTTTGAGCTGCTGAAATGTGGCTCCCTCCTTCTCTCCTTGTTATGAGAAGTTTCCCCGTTTCCTCCTTTCAACACACCAATAAATTGAGTTTATCTCGCCTCTTATCAGGCTGACGCTGTGTTTCCATTACATAATGTCGACAGATTGTTCATGTTAACCATAAACCAGGAGGATAGGATAAAGAGGTTGGAATCCTGCAGGGGTGGAGCTAGATGGGGGGCCATGGCCCCCCTTAGCCAATCTGTGGCCACCCCTACCATTTCCCCCCCTCTAATACAGACAGTGGTAACGTAATACTCTCAAGTGGAATATTCAAAACATTTTAATTTTTCATACATTAACATTTACTTTACAATAAAAACACTGTGGTTAATTGTGCACATCAACATACTGACATT